TCGACTCCATCTTTTACAAGGTCCCAAAGACCTTGACACCTTAATAGGACTTTCATCTGTTTGCACCAATTCTCATAGTTGTCAACTTTCAGAATTGGCAGCGTTGCTGGATAGTTTGCATTCCCATAACTTGTCATCGTGAATTCTTCAATCTTTTTTGATTGACACTTCCCTTGAATCGAAACAAAAGCTCTTGATACCACTGTAGGGGCAATTCTGAGGAGAGAGCATTTTACTTGGGACACACCTTTGTGAGAGACACACCACTTGTTCATCTAAAACCTTGGAATTGCCCCTACAAGAGATGCCGGAAAAAAAATTATTGATGTCGAGCGTCCAAGTAAATATGTAGACTTGATTTCACCGGAAGAATGAGACACTTTTAAAGACAAATGAAGAACTGAAAAATTTCAGAATACGAGTGTCGTAAATCGCCAACAAGCATCAGGTCCCGCGTATCCATACAAAAAAAGGGCGTACGAGATATGCACGCTTACAACAAAAAATAGTAAGTATCTATAAATTGCAATGATATACTTGTTCATCATGAGTTATAATTGATCTTAGTTTTTGTCTTAATGTGTATTTAAAAGAGGAGAATAGTTCCGAAATATCTGTTCTGGAATATGTTTTGTGGAAGGCTGCCCGTGTGGGTAAGGATAGAGTTGTTAAAGAAGAGGTTCAACAAATTTTTGAGAAATGCGTAAGTATAACATTAATTGTTTAATTAAATCAAAAGTTTATTACATATAATATTCATGCTTTTTCGATATTCATATGAATTTCAGGAGAATCTGTCTCAATCTATATCTCCAGATGACTACAATGATTGCAGGAGCATACTTAGTCGAGCATTAGATATTCGTGAGTATTTTGGTCGGGTGAGGGGTATGTGACATGGGGTCACTCCAACATCCTTGAAAATGAAAAATCCAAAGAAATAAAAAATGTAGGCAAAGTTGCAAGCATTAGAAGCTGAAGTTCGTGAATTGAGAAAGGAAAAAGAAAGAGATCAATCAGAAAGAGAAGCTTCAGGTTTTAAAGATACTAATGACAAAGCTAGTGTCAGTTGTAATGTTCAACCAAATATTCCCGAAGTAATTATATATATTATTATGAAATTAAATTAGTGTAATTTATTTAAATTGACATATATATATATATATATATATATATATATATATATATATATATATATATATATATATATATATATATATATATATATATATATATATATATATATATATATATATATATATATATATATATATATATATATACATATTTATTATTGGTTTTTGGGCATTTCACCCTGTCAACTCTATTTATCGTCACCGACTTATCGGATGGTTGACAAGGGGAAAGTGCATGATACTTTGGGAGAAGTACTTCACCATAAACTGCTCCTTTCTTGATATTTGAAGGTATCAATTGATATTGTTTTAGAAGGGGTGCGTTATTACCAATACCAGATGATATTTCAGATGCAACATTGGTGGGAGAGGCAGTAGGTACGTATGTTACATGGGCGTCAAGCCTCATTCGCGTAGACGATGAGGTATGCTTAAAATAATTATGAACCTTTGAGTATTCAAAGTTTTTACGAGCATTTTACGTACAGTTTTTTACATGGTAATGTTAGTTTCCTACAAAACCCAAATCAAAAGATAAGGGGGTTGTGCGGAAAACCGAGTTAGTTGCATCAAAAAAAGAGGTATAACACAATTATATGATATTTATGCATAGAATAATATTATACTTTGCCTAACTAATTATATTATATTTATATGCATGCTAAAGAGATTGAACAAGTCAGTAGGGGTAAGAAGACCGCGGCAAGCAAAAAACCTACTTCTCAGTATAGATCGTGCCTTCGGACATATATAGGAAAAACAAATATTCAAATTGGTGGTACTCATCTTATACCTATGAAGGCAGACATTTTTGGTTATGAATACATGGAAGCAATTAGTAGAGAAGATATGGATCAAGTTTTTCAACATTTGACTTTAGGCCTCGGTGTTATCGATACATACATCAGGTATACTCCGATCAACTTTGCTTAATTAAATGAACAATTTATTTACCCATTTCAATGAATATAGTCTAATTTTAATGATGTTTTTATTTGAAGTTTTTGTATGACAAAGTGATGCGCCCGCGTGGATTGGAAGAAAGATTCGCTTTCTTAGCTCCCAACACCGTCAACACAGGGTTAATCGTAACAAAACCAAATGATGTCATATCGTATGTACTCAGTTTATTTGTGGCCATCAAAGATACATAAAAGTTGTTCTTTTTACCATATAATACTGGCAACAGGTTAGATTTTCATCCTAACTTCATCTATTATAATTTTTCATTTTTTGACGTTGTGTAGAAACTTTCCATCTAACATTTGTTTAATTTTACAGTGGACATTGATTGTTGCTTGCAATTAATCCTGTAAGAGAAATTGTATACTATCTAGATTTGTTATACAATGATTGGATAACATACCAAGATTTGAAGAAGATGATTGATACGTAAGTGAGATTGTTCTAAATATTCGTGTGTATATTTATTTATCTATGTGAGATTATTCTAAATAGTCGTTTATATTTTATTATAGCATTCTACAAGCTTTTCGATCACAAAGAGGTATTGAAGTACTAAAGAGTAGAGCCAACAACATTACGTGGATTAGAGTGCAGGTATATTTTCACAATTTTGATTATATTAGGGATGATACTAGATAAAACAAGTTAAGGGGTATATATATATATATATATATATATATATATATATATATATATATATATATATATATATATATATATATATATATATATATATATATATATATATATATATATATATATATATATATATATATATATATATCTGTATTTTCTTTCCATGTGTAGTATCCTCATCAACGTAATGGTATAGATTGCGGTTATTTCATCTTGAGGTTTATGAAAGAAACGCTTCTTTTGAACCGAATAGAGATTCCATCCACGGTATGAATTTCTAACTTAAGAATTATTTTAATATTCTCATAAAAGGGCATAGTGTTTTAACTAAATCACATACTATGTTATATTACTATGTAGTACTTTGACGAATTCAATTGTGCTCATTACTCAAAAGATCAATTGGATGAACTTATGGAGGAATGGTGTCAATTTATTATGGAGTTGAGAATTGTATAATGTATATTGTCTTTCTTTCATTGATGAGAAGTTTGAGTATAACTTTCGAGTTTTGAGTATAAATTCGAATAAAGTTTTGTTTTATCATGGTATGAATTTCGATCTTTTGATTTAGTTTTAAGTTATAGGTACAGATGTAGAAGATAGAGCTAACAAGTTCATTGTTGTTGTTTTTTAGAAATTCTCGAAGATAGTAATATGTAGATTAAACATAAATTTAGAATTTTAGAATTTTCAAGTTGTATCATCAATTTTCAAGTTGTTGTTGTATATATCATCAATTATATATATGTAGATTTTTTGTATATGCAAATTTGTTTCATATTTATTGGGTTGAGGCTACCAAATCAGGTGTAAAATGTGGTGAAAATCTGGTGCAAAATATGGTGAAAATCTGGTGCAAATTTATTGTAGATATTGGACAGCGTTTTCTGTAAGTGAAAATAAGTCTAATATTTAAAAAAAATTTGTGAATATTAGACAGCGCTTAATGAGAAAAACATTGTCTAATGTGGGGAAAAAGCACTGCCTAAAATGGGGAAAAACACTGCCTAAAATGGGAAAGCGTTGCCTAAAGTGAGGAACAAACAGCGTTTTTAAAGAAAAGTGTTGTCTAAAGCAATGCCTAAAAGATAACCAAAAGCGTTGTCTAAAGAGAAAGCCCTACTAAAGAGGTACTTACCAAAGCGCACTCTAAAGAGAAAGTGTTGCTAAAGGGGTGCATAAGAAAGTATTTTTAAAGAAAAAGTGCTTCCTAAAGGGGACATGTAGCAGCACTTTTACATTAATACAAAGCGTTGCATTTACTTATAGCAGCGCTTTAAAGCGCTGTCTATGGCCAAAAAAAGTGTTGTTTATGTGCTTGTTTGGCATAGTGACTCAATAGGGCTTAAAATGTAGCACCGACACTTCTAAAAAAGGCGTGTCTGTGTTCATGTCGGTATGAGACACCTACAACAACACATGTGATTATCTTTAGTTTATTTATTTTTTTAAAATTATTATAGTATCGTTGTATCTGTGTCAGAGTCTTTTTGGAAGTGTCCGTGCTTCATAAGGCTTAATGCATGACAGTTAATACTATTGAGTAAAAAAAATATTATTTAAATTTTTTATACTGAATCTCAAAAATGTTATTATCTTACTAATTTATTTTAAGCAAGAATAAAATATATGATCATTTTCTTGGTTTGAAAAGTCTCAAGCTATATGATTGCAAAGTAGAAAAAATATATTTTCTCAATGAAGAAGTACATGAACAAAAAATGAACTTAGGTTTGGAGTACATTTGAGTTGCAGGATCTGCCTTCGAAGACTACGAGCCTTTTGGTTGATCCCAAAAATTCATTTTCCCTCAATTACCTTACAAGGATAAAAATCAGGCGATGTGAAAAATTGGAAATTGGGTTTCCCACTTCTATATTAAGATGCCTTCCACAATTGCTTATTCTAAGAATAGAAGAATGCAAAGAGTTGAAGCATATTATTGAAGATGATTTGGAGAATGAAAAATCCATAGATGTTCAGTCTACAAACACATACTTCCCAAAGCTAGAAATACTTGTTGTAGTAAACTACAACAAACTCAAACGTGTCTTTTAGAGCTCCGTATGTAAAGAGCTTGTAAAGTTAAAAGTTCTGATAATAAGAGAAGCATATGAGCAGCAAGAAATATTCCAAACTGAAGGTGGTGATCAGAATTAGTCGGTTTTGAATTAAAACAATCTTCGCAGGTATTTTTTATTCATTAACTGCTTGGGATTAGATTCCTAAAAATCAAGTCTTAAACTATTTCTGTAGTCTATGCAGGAAGATGGTGATTGCCAAATAGCCACAACCTCTTTGTCCATTGGCACAACCAAGACCAGTGATGAAGGTGAAGAGTCTCTGAATATATTTTTCTATTTTTATGTTCTTCAACAGTCATCACCCTTTTGATTTTGAAATTTTCCTATCCCACAATTTGTTCAGTTTCTCTAAATGCTGACGCTTCCAAGAAAGTAAGCTCAAATGTTGAGGAACAGCTTCCTAGCATCTCATCTCCTATTGAATCTCAGTTTCCGTCAATTCCTTTTAAAGGTATTTATTTACTTTTAAACTGTTGGATGCACTAAAAGATGAAAATAACTTTATAGTTTTATTGCAAGGGATGGCCGGCATCGGAAAAACTTCAATGGTCAATGAAGTGATAAGAGTATTAAAGAAATTCAAACAATTCACCCATGTTTTTCCTGTGACAGTTTCACGTACTCCTGATATAAAAAGGATTCAAGATGCTATTGCTAGCTCTTTAGGATTGCAGTTGAAATATTGTAATGAATCAAACCGACCCAAAAAACTAAGGGACAGATTAACAAACGGTGATAAAATTCTTTTGGTAATGGATGACATATGGGATGAAGTCCTACTTGACTTTCAAGCAATAGGGATTCCAAATTTAGCCAATCACAAAGGTTGTAGAATTCTTTTAACCTCACGCTTTAAACAAATATTCAATAAAATGAATTGTGATAGCAGAATTGAACTGGACCTTTTATCGGAAGAAGATGCATGGATCATGTTCCAAAAATACACCTTTATAAGTAATAGTTCCTCGAAAGAAGTGATTGGTATTGGACATAAAATTGTAAAGGAATGTAAACAATTACCAGCCACAATTGCAGTTTACGGCGGTAGTTTAAGAGGCCAAGATCAACAAGTGCATGAGTGGGATATGAAATTACAATCCTTGAAGAAGCGTGTATCATATCATAGGGTTGATGATGATATGATTGAACTTTATCAATGGTTGAAGCCTAACTATCATTTTATGAAAGATAAAGAAGTCATGGGATTATTCCTCTTATGTTCTGTATTTGGAGAAGATGAACAAATTTCTGTTGAAGTTTTAACCATAATTTGCACACGAGTGAGGCTTTTTGAGGAAGATTATCGGGGTCGTGACAAAGTAGTTGAGCCATAAATAAACGGCTAGATTCTTATTTGTTATTGGGGGTCGGCGAAAAACATGTAAACATGCATGGTTGGGTTCGTAAAGTGTCTCAATGGATAAAAGACCAAGAGAAAAAGTCATTGGTAAAAAGGAAAGTAAATATTCAATATTTATCATGTGAAGGGAAGTACATGGATTTGATTTCCTGTAAGTTTAATGATTCCAAACTTGAGATTCTATTTGTCAACATGGACAGAGATGAAGACCGCAAATGTATGAAAGTTCCAAATTCTTTCTTTGAAAATATGGCCAATCTTCGAGTTTTGTGTTTTGTGGAGAAATAACATTACCTCAATTGCGAAGATATCATATCTGTAAAGGGTGGGCTGTATGGAATAATCGGCTACCAAGATGTGTGGTTTCAACGTCTTCCATTCCATTGGTTGATGCTCATCAGCCGCATGACTACTCAGTGGTCCTGGCATCAGAAATCCTCTCACCATTTTCAATTATGGTTTGACACTTTCCCACTTTTTAAATTTTTTTGTTTGATTTTGGGCAGACTACAAGAATGTTAGGTTTGATTTTGAATTTATTTTCATTGGGATTACTTGATTATATTGCAGGAATCAAATTCATATCGCCTTCATATATGGGAGCGTACTCAATGTCTTCAAATACAATCAATGATCCTTTACAATTATTACATGATGCAAATAATTCAGTTTAGTTAAACTTTGGTGATTTGTTACTTAACAGTATATATAGTACTGTCTTGTACATTCCAAAAGCATAATAATACAATGAGCTTATTCCAAAATTAACATGGTATCAGTTTGAAAATTCCTTTCCGCGCCTCCCTTTTCTTTCCTTTCATCTTCTTCGCGCCTTCTCCTTCTTCTTCGCGTCTTCGCCTCTTCCTTTTCCTTTGAATGCTTCAGCATTGACTATGGCGCTTCCTTACTCCGATTTCGCTACAAACCCTTCCAATCCTTATTATATGCATCCTAACGAAAATCCCTCTCTTGTTCTTGTTCAACCAGTTCTTGATACCAAGAACTACCAGATCTGGTCTAGATCGATGAAAGTGGCTCTTATCTCCAAGAACAAGATCAAGTTCGTTGATGACACTCTTTCTCCTCCGCCTATCTCCGACTCTCTATACGAACCTTGGCTGCGATGCAACAATCTCGTCCTCTCATGGCTTCAACGCTCGATTTCTGAGGAAATTGCAAAATCTCTTCTCTGGTATGATCGTGCTTCTCTTGTATGGAAAAGTTTGGAAAATCCTTTTTCTCAGGGAGACATTTTTCGCATTGCTGACATTCAAGAAACTGTTGCTCGTCTTCAACAAGGAACTCTCGATATCTCTTCGTTCTTCACGAAATTGATGACTGTTGTATCCCAAAATTTGCCCTCCCATTTCCTCAACATTTTCTCATCACAAAACCTTGGAGCTCAAGATCCAGTTAGGGTTTTCCTCTGCTCAAGACTTCTCCTTGCACTGTTGACCCAAATTAGGGTTTGTGATTGCACAAAGATATTTTGACCTAAAATGCCTAGGATGACTTTCATGCTTCATGTTGGACTCCCAAGTTTATCCATACCAAGTTTCAAGTCTTGATTCCAAATTTTGCCCAGTCAATTGGACAGTTGACCTAAAAATCAACTGTATTGGGGAAAAAGTCAACTGTGGCCAATTGACAGTCAAATCTCATGAAAATTGACCCACATCAACATTATGAACTCATATGGACCATTTGATCAAGTTTGGATCACAATTCCACAAGAAATTTGATCAGGACATCAAAAGGGCAAAATGATCATTTTTAGGGTTTTGACTGCACAAAGGCAATTTTTGACTGTTTGACCTAGCCAATGGCAAACCAAGCTCACATATGGACTCAAGGACCCCATGGAATTATCTTGACATGCTCAACAAACTCAAAAGATCCCAAGTATACAAGATTGACAGTTGAATTTCCCAGTCAATTGATCAATTTTGACTGTATACTGAAAAGTCAAACTTTGACTTTTTGGTCAAAATCAAGAGTCAAGATTCATTTTTCATCAAAACATGCCAAATCATGAAACTTGTTCACCAAGAAACCAAGAAATGCAAATTAGGGTTTGAAATGGGAATTTTTCATAACTTAGAATTTTTCTAAGTTATGGAAAACCCTATTTTTTTCCCAACTTTGCCCCACTTTCTCACCAAGATTCATTTGGATTCAAACAAAAGTCAAAACATTAAAGTTGTAGCTTGTTGAATAATCTACAACTTTGATTCACAAAGTTTTCCCAAATGAGGCTTGTATCTCAAGTTACAATTTTTTGAATAGGGGTGCCAAACCATTCTTAACTTAGTGAAAATCTGACCATTTTGACAAGGTTTTCTACCTAACTTCAAGCCATTTTCCATACATTTCCACTTGGAATTTCAATTTACATTTCAAAGATGGATTGTAGTACACATTCCAAGCTTTCCAAAATTTCCAAGAACTTCTCAAACAACCTCATAACTTGAGAGAATCGAATTTCACAATATGGCAAAAATTCACTTTTGAATTGATCATGAACATGTTCATAACTTAGGCCATTTTCAAGTCAGCATAGTTTGTGCTACATTACAGGTCCTAAAACCCTTTGACACTCATAAATTTAATGCCAAACCTTTGTGCCAAGACCATGTTTTGTGTATTCAAGCATTGCCTAGAAGATTAATCCATTTATAGATAAAGCATTATTTCTATTTTAAAAAAGTAGAACTTTATGTCCATTTTGCAAATCCAAGTGGTACAGTCAAAAATATTCTAGGCACAAGTTATGAGACACATTACACTGATCAAGGAAAAGGATTGCAGCATGTTATGGGGGCCTGCATCAGTCTAGAACATCAACTTGCCTTTTGTTGCTTAAGAAAGAAGAAACATAGTATAACTTGTACCAACTCTCATATCAGCTTACAAACACTTAAACAAACTTATCAAACATATTCCAAACATTGATCCTAAGCTGAAGCACGAGCCTTTCAGCTCCAATACCTCCCAAAACTCAGAATCACCTTGAAACTGCTCAAACAGAGCAACCTCTGCAGATTGAGTTCCAACTCTCAATCCTTTCAAGCATTCTTGCCCAAACCAGTTCATACACCTTCCCTACCATCTATGCAAGCTAACCAAAAGCTAAAACACGACCTGTAATCCCTCTAACTGGTTCCACCATTTTCACTTTTCTGATTTGCAGGTGGAGTGTTATAGCTCGATTCAAAAGGTTTCAAAGCAAAGTAACACTTGGAATAGTATCCCTGGACCTCAAGGAAGCTATACCCATCATCACTTTGCACTGAGAGCTTCTCCATTGCCAGATAGAACTTCAACTGAACAGGTAAGTTTTTGAATTCGTATCTCTCTTGTTAGGCATTGTTAGCTTTAGGTTTGTGAAGAAAATATGTCACAATCATAGCCCTGAACATGCCCATATAATTAGATTTTATTTATATTATGTGTGTTGCAAGAATTTTGGGTCTGAACTTGGAAGAAAATCTAGGTCAGGATTTGGGGGAGAAGAAATTCTCCCTCATCTTAGAGATTTAAGACAAGTTCTACATATGGTTGGATTCGTCTCTTGATGCTGAACATTTTTTATGTTATGAGTTTTCATTGAAAAGCCAGGAATCAGGAGTTAGAAGTTTGAGAAGAAGGGCGTGCGTTTTGAACTGGTTTTGTCTGAAGGTTGAAGACAATGTCTTCTTGGGCTGGGCCTGAGTTATTTTCTTATTCACACCACCTTTTTGGTTTTACACCCCCTGAGCCCATTTCATTCATTTTTTAATGTTTTTGACTTTTTCTTTTTTTGATTGACTCATTTATTTTTTCTCATAATATTAAAAATATAAAAATATTTTTTCTCACCATTTTTGAATTTATTAGGCATTTATTTGATTTTTCTTTTAGTTTGTACATAAATCAATAAATACATATACTTTTTTTATTTAAAATACTAAAATAGTGTAAATATATTTTTTATACATTACATTTTGTTTTACTTTCTGAAAATATTTTATAGAAAAAATACTTTTTTTATTAAATATTAAATATTATTAATTTGTATATATAATGCATATTTAATGAATAATACATATACATATATATATTTATTAATACACTTAGGATAAAAATACTGAAAATATACATATTTTATTTTATTAATATTTAATACTAAAAAATCATTTTTTACAAATATACTTTATTTTTATTTTATTTTTGTATATGAATAATAAATATTGTGTATATTGAATAAATAATACATTTTTTATAGAATTAGGGTTTGACCCTAAATATGAAAAACTTAAAAAATAATAATACTTTCTTTTTGACATGTAAAAATACCTTTTTTCCATACATATAAAAACCATTTTTGGCATCTTGCACATTTGTTCTATTTTATTTAATTTATGCAAATTAATCACCTTGTAAATAATTCAATATTGATGTAATAGTTTTAGGTTTAAATTCCTTGTCAAAATCCTCGTTCGAACATTTGTACCCCCCTTCCCATATATGGTTTTGTAATAGCTTAGTAAATTTATTTCCGCACTTTATTGCTTTCTAATTATACCATGTTAGAATTAGGGTTTGTATGCGAAAAATAACGAAAAATAGTTTTGACCTAATTTCAAGATAAACAAGTATGAAAATGAACACACCAATCACACTTGCACCCCCTAGGGTATTCCACTTGTTGCCTTTCAAAATTGGGCCATGTTGCATGTTAGGTCTCTTTGGGCAAAACAAACAAATCAAATGATCATAGTCCCTCGATAACACTTTCAAAATGTTGCCTAAACAAATGATCAAGTCCCTTAAAGAAAATGCCCAAAGATACTTGGCACCATTGCAATTATGGTCTAAACGACGACCCGTGCCCGTCCCTTTCACATCCTAACATGAGATTGTCCACCAAATACAATGGTGAAACAAACTTGTTAAAAGGGTTAAAGCATAGCAATAAACTTTGAGAAATTTAGGAGTAGATAACCTCTTAGTTACTTGAATCAAACTTGCAAAAAAAAAAATAAAACACTTGCCTATTTTCTAAAACACACCTCACAATACTTTCAAAAAACAAAACTTTCAAAAACAAAATGAAAACCTTTTCAAAAGACATACATCTTTGTATACATCCCCACATGGATCATTACAAAGGTTGCCACCACATTGGCTTCTTTTCAAAATATTTTCAAACCCACACACACACAAGCACCATTTCAAACAATTGAAAATAAAAGGCAAGTGATCTAAGCAAGTAACTAAGAGCCCATGGATAACCATGGATAGAAAGGGTGCTAATACCTTCCCTTTCTATAATCTACTCCCTGAACCCAAGAAAACATCTTAAAAGATTTTTTGCTGTGCTTTTTTAAACCTTTCCTTAGGATAAAATAAAAAGTCGGTGGCGACTCTTGCTCAACCGAAACATTTGCGAAAACAAACGCAAAACCTCAAGTCAGTTCTCCCACCGTACCACAGAACTGGCGACTCTGCTGGGGAATATATTAAAAGTGGAGTAACCTTAGGGCTTAGATCACCTTTGTTTTCAATTGTTTGCTTTGTTTGCTTTTATATTTGTGGGCTTTTCATCGGAGTTTCATAGATCCTAACCCGGATCTGGGAAATACCCATTTTAGGTAGCATAATCTGTGAGGGACCTGTCTGGCGTAGACCGACATGGG